TCCCACTACTCAGCACTTGGTTGTGTATTGGTCAGCGGGCAGTGAGCAACTGTATCCTAATTGTATTATATTGCATCATATGTTTTATTTTCTATTAATTATTTAGTAGTAGTAGTATTTGTATATATTAATTTTGATTTAATTAGTAAATAGTCCTTATCTCAATTTTATGAGCTTCCTTATTTCTTTTCCCTCCGATTCTTCCCCTCCACTGGAGGAGGGGAGGGGGCTTTGTGATAGCGGCTTCATGATATTTTTCTAGCTGGAGTTAAACCACAACAGTCCCTTCCAAACTAAATGAGCCTATGATACTATGATTTAACAGCATATCTTTCATTTAGGCTCCCATGAAAACCTGTTGGTTTTGAAGCACTTTGCCTTGAGTATGGAGGAACCAATGAGTCCTCAAAAAGTCAGAAATGCCGTGTTACCTCAACCTCTTTTCCAAGGCACCACACATAAGCATGAGGCTGAGAGCAGAAAATTATTGTACCCAAGAGACTGTCTGTAGAAAAAGCCATCTGTGCATTCTATGTAACTTATATCTGGAAAACAGTGCATGGAAATGTTCAAATGGGCACTATTTCGGGAAGCTGTAATCCTAGTTTAGTACCATAACCACTGAACTGTCTCCTGTTTCCCAGTCTTTCATTTATGTGCAGATTAAATAAAATTAATTCTCTGTGGAAGCTAATGGAAAACAATATTCTAATAAACATGTTGAAAGTGTGATAAAATTGGAATTCACAACAGGGACAACACAGTCAGGCTGCAGAAGACCATGTGGCTTCAGCTGGGGTTCATGTGAGGAGTCTTCTCTGCACATAAATGTCGTGCACTAGTTTTATGATTTCTGAGAATTTCTACCCCATCACACATCATCTGAGATACATTTGTTACTTGAGCTCACATTAAATAAGTCTTATTAAATACAAAGCATTAAATTGGGCCATATGTATGGTTCTGGCCTGTGCTACAAATTCTGTTAAGTGTAATACCAAGTTTGTTTCTAAATTTAACATCATAATTCCTTTCCGAAGTCCAAAGGAGCTCATGATCATCCACGTCCAGAAACAAAACTAGAAGCAGAAGCAAGAAGATCAATCCAAAAAGCACAGACTGCTTTTTCTCCATCTTCTCCAAGAATAAAAAGAATCCGGGAGATTGAGGTAACTTATTATCAATCAGAGAGATTGTGGGGTCAGTGTTCAATGGTTCAAGACACAGTGGAGACTATCTGGGCTTTGGGTCTGAATGGGAGCAGGCTTAACACCTCCATATTCTGCCTCCCCGTGATCAGGCCTAGAAGAAGCAGGGCTGCCCTAAGCATCCTGCTCTGCTCAGCACTATCATCCATCGCCAGCATCCCTCATCTGGAGCTTCTTTGGACCTGGTGGCAACAGGGGATTACATCTGTACCACTAAACAAAGCAGGGCTGGAGGGCAGGCTCAGTCACATCACTATTCACATGGACCCTGCCATGGATTTGGCCAGCACTAACTCGTGCTCACAGACAAAATGCCCTGGCAAGGGTCAGGAGGACAGCATGTGCAGGGACCATTCTCCAGCGGGATTTTGGACAAGGTTGCAGCAGGTCTGGGTCCCTTCTCTATACACAGCTGACTTTGAACCTACCTGTGCCTCTATGTGCTGTCATGCTACAAGCAATAAGAATCTCAAGCTGATGCTGTGAAAAACAGCCCTTGGTGGGCTGCAACACAGCCCTTGCACCATTTCACTTCAGGTGCAGAGATCACCCGAGGCCAGGATGTAGTGTGGGCACTGCCAGGCATGACTTTTGATCCGTGTTACCAACAACAGTCCTTGGCCTTATTGTGTTTAGCAACATGGACATAGCTTTAGAGCCCCAGCTCTTTCCTCTTTTAAACACAAGAGTTGTCTTTAGAAAAATTTCCTGCAAGTTCTTTGTTAGTGCTGCTTCAGAAATTAAATTATTCACAAAGAAATCTGGGAATAAAGTAATTGGATATTTAGTCTAATCAGTATTGACGCTGAAGGAGAAATTTAGAAGGTGTTAATTTGATTTAACGTATAGTATTGATTGCACCACCCCATGAGAAATTTGTAACAAATGAACACTTGAAAGCTGCGAAATATTTTTTGCACTAACTGAGCTCAGGGGGAAGATTCTTATATGTGTGTACACATACACACACACTCTCTCTATACTATTTTACTATAGAATACAACATATAACATTACCTATATGGCTATTATATACTGTGTATGGTATCCGAACAAAACTTGTCATTGACAAGGCAAATCCAGAAATCCTTACTCCTTCCTCCAGTCCCCCAGCCCTTACTTTAGAAAACCCAGTTACTTCAGTAGCAGTCCTGGACTGTTTTATTCACAGACTTAACGCCCATCAGAGAGAGAGAGATGCTGTCCTGCAGGGCAGCTGCCCCTGAGCAGGATTCGGCCACCTGCAGACTCAAGGGCTGGGAGGGCACCCACAGATGCAGGAGGCACAGGCCCACCCTTGGAGAGACAGTGGGAGATTGTGTTTTCTCCACATTGACATATGTTCCGAGGTCCTCCACTGGCACGGAGGAGGTGTTGCAGAAAAGCAAAGGCACCATCCACCTGTATTCATCCCACCCTGGGTTTTGCCAGGGTTGATAAGGGGAAGGTGCATCACCTCTTTCTGGTGTGCGCCACTTGCTCCCTGGGTCTGCGGGAGGGCTTACTTAGAGAATCACTGATGTTAAACCATCAGCTCTGCTGGGTGTGGAAACACTTGTGAAAGCATCTACAGAGATCCTGCAGACTGCCGCATGCCCGATGGAGGGATCCGGGGACAGCAGTGTGGGCTGTCTCCAGTGATCTTCCTTGCAAAGGCTGTGTTACGCGCAACAGTACAGCAACTGTCTTCATATGTAGGTCGTCTTTTGATGTGCTAGAGGTGGTGCATTCTCCCCAGCCTGGTGGTTGGCATAGTAATCAGCGACCTTCAGCTACAGACAAAAGGAATAATTAGGCTGGGTAGGGACAGACTTCTTAAATGGATGACATGGGGAAGCAAGGGGGTCCAGGACCCCAAGAAGCAGATTAAAAGAGTGAACAGAGAAAGTTAAACCCATTTGAATGGAATATGAATTTGGGACCTGCAACTATTTCTACTGGAAATACTCAGGAGGACATGAAAACACAGACCTCGGGAGTGGCTCTCATGGAGACACACTGAATTGGGATGGGCCAGTCAAAAAGTACAGGATGACCTTTTGACACAAGAACCCAGGAACATGAGCAGAAGAAAAAGCAGTTGAGCCACTGTGTAAATCTCTAACAGATATAGAAATAATGATTTTCATATCACTGGGTTAATTCTGTCCCTATGAACACTAAAATACTCCTCACCTAGGAAACACTACTCAGCCACGTGGCGTTTTTCTTTTATACCTGAGCCTACTGGTCTTACTGAGGTCAAGTTCCCTCTAGGCATGTCTTCGTCTTTCCCTTCCTACAACATCTTCTAGTGTTTTCACTTTGAATTGTGTGGGAATAGGAACAGATCAAAGGCCTCATAAACATCTAATTGTAGAGCCTACTCTGTGGCTCATCTGACTCTGTGCAGTCAGAGTGATATCATTTATCCTCAGCTAGATTTCCATTTCATGGCTCTCTGGCAGTTTTTTCTTGGGAATAATCCATCATATTTGTGTTCTGCCAAGACCAGCTGCCATACAACTAATTTAGGAGTGTAATTTGACACGCAGAACCTGTATTGCTGAATCTGAAAAGATTAAATTTTAATGTGCTCACAAGAGTCCAGGGAGGAGAACTTTAGAAAAATATATGAATCCAAAATAGAGCAAGTGATACATAGGATGTTTTCTCTATGGTGTCAGCGGGTCTTTAGCTGAAGGTGGGCTGGTGCTACATCAGGTTGTTGGAATTTCTTCTCATGGTGGGTGAAGAACAGCTGAAAGGAGATTTGCTGCTCTGGCAGTCAGCAAAATCACTATAATTAAATGGATGCAAAAGCAGAATTACAAAGAAGAGAGACTGTAAGTACTCATCAGAAATGAGAGCACAGAATGAGTGTTCTGAAAGGAATTAAAGTTTGCAAAATTATAATCCAATAATTAGGGCAATTAAAGAAGTTGTGAAATATCCAGAACAAAAGACCCAGAAGAATAATTCTTGTGTGCTGCTCCCTCCCTGAATTAAATTTCTGTTTGTGGGGTAAAAAAAAGTAAAGATAGGAAGATTTATTAGTTAGACATAGAAGTAGAGTCTTGAAAAGCTGAAGCATAATATTATTGTAGTGAAAAGTTCACTTCAAAACAATCAGTTTTTAAAAGTCATACTTAGCTTTTCTGAACTCTATAGAAAAAAAAATTCTGTGATGTCAAATGTATTAGCATAATTTCATTTTCAGGTGCTTCTTCAGTATATGCTGCCAGCAGGCCCTGAGGGCTGTGAATCCAAGGGCTAACAAATCTTTCAGTGTAAAACAGGCTTTGGGCAAAAACTGGTGAAACAAACCCAGACCTGTGATCTGGGCTTTGCCCCTAAAGCCCACTGGAGGCTCTGCTACAGCATCTGCTTCATTATCTGTACTAATTGAATGCATTTGTGAGGGTCTCATACAGGTTGGGTTTTATTTCATGCTGCTAGCCTACACCTTGTTTCACTAAACCATGCCTTGCTCTCCCAAGACTCTGACAGGTGCAATGGCGACACGGGAGGCTTTGCCTTTGCTTCTTTCCAATCCAGACGCTTACATGCTACCTGCTGATTTTGGGGGACATTTAAGCAAAACCGCCCAGGAGCCAACACTGGGCAGTTGC